GCGGAGCATGGAGTCTGATGTGGGACTCCATCCCAGGACCCTGAGATCATGACCTGAGCCGAAGTCAGACGCTTAACTGACTGATCCACCCAGGTGTCCCTTTAACAACACATTTCTAAAGAAATCATAAGGGAAATTGGGAAATATTTTTAACTGATTGAAATAATACCATTTAAATTTCTGGTATGCAGTTAAAAGGGAAATTTAAAGCTCTGAATGATCATATTAGAAAAGATGAAAAGTCTCAAGTCATTGACCTCAGCTTCACCTTCAGGAGCTAGAAAAATAAAAGTAAATGGAAAAACTGCTTCCTCTACTCATAACACTTCTGACACTAGCTGGAGTTAGCCCACAGGTTAAGGGCTCAGTCCAAGACTGCCCCCCATTCCAGACTCCAGTCACAAGTTTGGGCCTCTTCTACTTCTCACCAACTGGCTATAAAATCAGCACAACCTCCTTCTCGGGTCTAATAATTTGCTAGAATGGCTCAAAGAACTCAGGAAAGTGCTTTACTTGCTATTATCAGTTTTTATATAGGATAGAATTCAGAACCAGCCAAATGAAAGAGATGCATAGGGCAAAGTATGTGGGAAGGAGTGCAGATTTCCCATGCTTTCTCTAGGTGCATCATTCTCCCAAGACCTCAATGTATTCATCAACTGGAAAGTTCTCCTAAGGGTTTGTTTAGGGTTTGTTTAGGGTTTTCATAGAGGTTCCATTATATAGACATGATCAATTAAATCACTGGCCATTGGTGATGAATCTCTAGCCCTTCTCCTCTTCCTAGAGGTCAGACCTGAAAATTCTAATCCTCTTATCACATGGATAGTTCCTCTGGGAACCAGCCTCCTTACTCTGAGTCACACCTCATTAGCATAAACTCAGGTGTGGTTGAAAGGGGTTTCATTATCATAAACTTAGGTATGGGGGCGCCTGGCTGGTTCAGTGGGTAGAGCATGTGACTCTTGATCTCGGGGTTGTAAACTGAATCTCTACACTCAACATGGGGTGTAGAGATTACTTAAAAATAAATAAGTAAATAAATGAAACTCAGGTATGGTTGTAAGGAGCTTATTATGATTAACAAAAGATGCTCTTTTCATCCCCATTAGTTAGGAAATTGTGTTTTTAGGAACTCTGTGTCAGGAACAGGTGATGAAGACCAAATATACATATTTCTTATATCACAATATCACAAAGAGCAAATTAAACCCAAAATAGGGGCGCCTGGGTGGCTCAGTCGTTAAGCGTCTGCCTTCGGCTCAGGTCATGATCCCAGAGTCCCGGTATCAAGTCCCACATCGGGCTCCCTGCTCAGCGGGAAGCCTGCTTCTCCCTCTCCCACTCCCCCTGCTTTTGTTCCCTCTCTCGCTGTGTCTCTCTGTCAAATAAATAAAATCTTTAAAAAATAAAAAATAAAAAAACCAAAATAAACAGAGGCAAAAAACAACAAAGATAAATCAATAAATTATAAATCAATAAAATAGGCAAAAAACAATAGAAATAATTAATGAAACCCAAAGCTGGTTCTTTGAAAAAATTACTAAAATTGATAAACCTATAGCTAGAGTTACCAAGAAAAAAAGAAAACACAAATCGCCAATACAAGAAATGATAAAGGGGACATCACCAACTTTAAAATGATAACAAGAGAAAAATGATAATCAGTGTTATGCCAGTAAAATCAGCAACTTTGATGAAATGAATAAATTCTCTGAAAGAAGCAAATTACCAAAACTGATACAAAGAGACTAACAAATGTGGATATCTATATATTTATCAAATAAATTTAAGGAAATTGAATTCACATATTAAAATACTTCCACAAAGAAAACGCCAGGCTTCATTGACCTCTGTGGTGATTTCTAACAAACATATAAGGAGAATATAAAATCAATCCTACACAAATTCTTTCAGAAAACAGAGGAAGAGGGAACACTTCCCAACCCAAATATAAAGCAACATAACACTGATACCAAAACTAAACAAGGACAATATAATAAAAAAAAAAAAAGGGACTAAAATCCTTCATTAACATAAGTGCCAAAAACCTTAATAAAATATTAACCAATCAAATCCAATACAGAACATAAAAAGGATCAAGTAGAATTTAATCCTAGGAATGTAGGGTTGATTTAACATTCAAATATCAGTTAATATAATTCACATTAACAGAATAAAGGAGGAAAATCATATGAACATTTCAGTTGATGTGGGAAAAGAATTTAACAAAGTTTAACACCTGTTCATGGTAAGGACACTGAGCAAAGAGAAACAGAAGGAACCTTCCTCAATGTAATAAAGATCATCTACATAAAACCTATAACTAACATCATACTTAATGGGAAAAAGCTGAATGTTTTGTTTTTCCTCTGGTATAGGAAAAAAAGTCATGGATGTCCACTCTCACTACTTCTGTTCAATATCACATGTCCTAGTCAGTACAACAAGGCAAGAAAAAGTAATAAAAGGCATAAACATTGGAAAGGAAGAAGTAAAACTATTTTTATCTGCAGATGTTATGATTACCTATGTGGAAAATTCTAAGAAATAGGCAAAAAAAGAAGGAAGAAAGGAAGGAACAGATAAAGGAACGAAGGAAGGAAACCTACTAGAACAATAAGTGAATTTTGCAAAGTCTCAGAATACAAGATCAATATAGAAAAACAAATTGTACTTCTGTATATTAGCAAAACTGCAAGATGATGTTAAAAAATACCATTTATAATGCACCAAAAAACAAAACATGTGGAAATAAATTTAGTGAATAATATATAAGACTTTCACAAAATATTACAGACAGAAATTAAAGATCTAAATAAATGGAGAGTTTATACCATGCTCATGTATTGGGAGACTTAATATTATTAAGATATCAATTTTCCTCAAATTGAGGTATAGATTTAACACAATCCCAATTAAAATCCAAGTAGGCATTTTTGTAGAAATTGAATCCAATGATATTGATCTAAGATCAACAAATATACAAATGCAACAACAGGTAAGAGGCAGACTTGTATCTGTTGAACCTACCACAGGGAACAACTTTTAATTTCCCTGGAGATTAGTTGCTAAAAGTTAACAGGAATTCTGGGCGCCTGGGTGGCTCAGTTGGTTAAGCAACTGCCTTCGGCTCAGGTCATGATCCTGGAGTCCCGGGATCGAGTCCCGGGATCGAGTCCCACATCGGGTTCCCTGCTTAGTGGGGAGTCTGCTTCTCCCTCTGACACTCCCCCCTCCTGTGCTCTCTCTCTCTCTCATTCTCTCTCAAATAAATTTTAAAAAAAATCTAAAAAAAAAGTAACAGGAATTCTGTTAGAAATGTATATTATGTATAACAATCTCAGGTATATTCCAATCAACCTTAAAATGAGATGAAGAGACTACAATAGTGTAATAAAGAAATTATGTTTTCCTTTGTTTTTCGTGTCTATTTAGTAAATACAAATCAGGTACAGCCCTGGTAAAACACCAGATAATCCCATTTTGTTGTTGTTGTTGTTGTTGTTGTTGTTTTTGAAGAATAGGACAATCAAGAATTTTGGTAGTGTGTGTCCTCTGGGTTGTAAATAATTTGTTTTATGGAATAGAAAAAGTCTATCACATAAAAGGCACTATCAGATGGAACTAGGAAACTGGAAGAGTGCTGGGAGTTGTTTAAAAGAATAAAAGAATTCTCAACTAAGTGGAATTTAAATAAAAACAAAACAAAAACAATAAAATAATTTACCTAACATTTGAATACCACATAATTTCCAGGTATTTTATAAATACTATAGATGCTTTTACAGCTAAGAACATATTTTTAACCTGTAAGGGAAGAACAGCCTTTACAACAATGGGTCAGATATTTCATTAAGAACTCACTTCAGGAAGCCTGAGCATTGTAGGAAATAAAACACACTAAAGGTCATGTGACTAGCAGAGGGCAGAGATCAGGATAAGTACAGGGTGTGTCATATGACAGTATGTGTTACCTACTCAGTAATCATGGCAAGTAAAGAAGCAGGCAGAGAGGGGAGATGACTTCATAATTCTAAACCAACATAATTCTTAGAAGAAAGTAAGAAGGAAAAAAAAAAAAAAGAAAGTAAGAAGGAAAGAGTGAATGCTTTGCTAACAAAACAAAGCTGGAGGATGCTCATACAAGATGTGCAGCTGTCTTAATAGCCCATGTTACATTTCTAGTGTATATAAAATAAGAGAAGACTTGCCAATTTGTATTTTGAAGATTTAAAAGAAAAGACACTACCAGAAAAAAAATCTGTTCCTCTTCAAATTCTTCCCCTTAAAATGGCCATCTCCACCCTAAAATCAGAAACCAAGCCAGTAAGAACCAGCAATAAGAACTAAAATATATGCTGCCAAAACCTTGACTGTATTAATGTTAAATTATATGTTAACAATATATTCTACGTAAACTACTAATTGATAAGCATGCCGGTAAGCCAAAAGATTTGTTTCAATGCTTTCCTCCATTTCTGTCCTTTTAAATGAAGGGATATGTTTAAATGCTGTTCTAGAATGTTCAGTGTGGAACCAAATCTATATTTCATGCTTATCAAGTATAATTGTTTGTTCAGAAATGTTTGGTGCTCCCAGACATTGGGATCTCACTTTATTACACAATTAGAAACTTTTCCTTCTATAATTATAAAGTTCTGAACCAAAGTTAAGAATGACCATTAATCATACATGACTAAGATAATAGATCATCAAATAAAATTATATGATTTAATGTAAGTTGCAGTTTTATTAGGATGTACCAGTCAGGCAATTTTTATAAATTAGTGTTCTAATTAAGAAAACATGAATAATTTAAAGATTAATAAATGTAAAAACAAATTTAGGTGAATATACACATAACTACACAGGATTTACGATATATCTGTAGAATTCTCTAGTCAGCATTTTTTTGTGTATGTAATATTAATAAAAAGGATTTTTTTTAAACCATACAATGATTCTGGGATTCCCTGAATTTTCAGCTGCTGCATTTTCTACTCTACATCTGGCAGGTTCTTCTTCCTTTCAGTTTGTGCACTTCCTGTATTCTAAAAAGTAAATAGAAACAGGACCTTAACTGAGGAAACGGTGAGTCTTGGATAAGGAAATATAGCCACAGATAAGCGCTTGTACTTTGTACCTGGGCTTTGTTTTATGAGGGAGACTATTTAGCAAATATTCTTCATGATCATCATGAAACAGAACTGAAGGTGGCTTTTGTATGGACTCTTTCCTTTCTTGCCTACCTCATCAGCAGTAATTTAGGGTTTCTCTTAGATCATATTGTCTATTCAATATAGGTATACACTAATTCAGTATACATTTAAGATGCCTGAAAGAACTGAAGGTACAACTCTGAAACACTTGGATCTGAGTAGGTAATTCAAAAACAAGTCAATGGCACAACCAAGAATAGAACAAAAAAGTTGCTATCTCCTATCTTGTAAAAACATGTCATATTCTCTTGTGCTCTAAAATAACAAACTACCAACTCAAAATTTAGGACATTTTCTTAATCTGACATTAATGTATTAAAAGTGTTTAGACTAGCCTTATATGCAATTTCACTGGGTTGTCAGAACTGCATATGAATAGGTAACACAAAGAAACTATGACCATCTTTGATGACTACTCTCATAATCCCAACCTTTTCAAGGTCACTCTTAGAAAGGTCATCTTTTAAGCAGTTCTACATCACATGGGCAAGAAGGGATTTCCCCTTCCAATTTATTTATGTATTTTTTTAATGAAAGAACTGTCTGGAGAGTTCCTTTCTTCCTGCATTGGAATATAAATTTAGTTCCAGAGGCTCTCATAGGACAGTAGGATAAACACATGCAGCACACTACTAGGAGCCTAATACACAAACTCAGGAGCCTCATTTAGTCAGTCATTCAAAAAGTATGCAAAAAAAAAAAAAAAAAAGTATGCAAAGCGTGTGCTGCTCAACATGCTGGGACATCAGTAAGTCACCCAAGTTTAGAATTTAAAGCCACCTTATTACTTTCTATAATGAACTAAAAGATGACCATTAATGACTTTCTTGTTCTGTCTAGAAAATATTTCTTTCCTGCAAAGTGGATTGTGGAGTTCTTAACAAGTTCTAAGCCAAAAATAAGGCACAAGCAACACTATGAAGATATATCTAACAGTTATCTGGTAACTCTTGAATCTGAATGACTTAGAGATTGAATAGACATAGTGAAAATGCCTTCTTATATGGTTTAAAAGTTTCTCTATTTTTCTAATTTCTCCAAATTTCCTTAAGAAGTATATGCTAATTTTATCATGAATAAAAATGTAATCAATTTTATTTATAAAATAAGAAACTGATATAATGAAATTGATGACCTTACAAATGTGTAGAATAGAAGGCCATCTATATGATTTAATTAAGTGGGAGCTGAGCACAATCCCCCTTCCCTTAAAAGAGTGTCTTTAGAGAGTATGCATTTGGATACTGAGGATCTTCAAGATTTCCAAATAAAATTCAAGACTCTGGTGGGTAGGGATTGGAACATTTCAACACAGTTATCTGATAGCCGGCTGAGAACAAATCTTTGTGAAAATAGAACAATAGGTGGACAGCAAAGATAAACTGAAAACAGGAAGGGAGGGGCTAAAGATAAATACATATGTTCCTGTGGCCAGTATAACTATATGTTCACACCATTATTTGTTTCCTCTGGCATGGTTTACCTGCCCAATATTATGTAATACACATAACACATGTAATATTTTCCCTGGGTACCAAATATTCTAATCACTCAACATTCAGATGAGGCCTGGTATTAATTACCCCCCCAAAAAATAACTTTTAAAAACTTTTACTAATATGTCATTTTAAGAGAATATAGACCTGTTTCTCATGTTCAAAGACTACATAATTTTGAATTTTTATATAACTTTCCAGTAGTAATAACTAAATCTATGTACCAAGTCAAGGGTTCCAATAGCATTAAAACTATAAACAGAAAAATTTACCTCTTGTTTTTCTTGATTTTGATCCACATTAAGTAAAGTTGGTATCTTAGATGAATCTGTTTTCTTTGATTCCCTCTTCAGCACTTTTATCTGTTTAACTTTTGCAAAAATATATACAACAATGACAACTTGTTATTCCTACCTTGAAATTTTACTTTCCTTTCCAAGAGTTTCAAATAGAACTTCTGATATCCACTAAAGTCAGTTTCTCAGTTTATTATAAAGGAACCGAATAAATCATCAGTTGTAATGGTAAGATATGCCAGTCATAAATGATCTGTTTTATAACTTTACAAATAGCCTACCAGGTATTAAAAGAAGACATTTATTTTTTAAAGTTCTGCAGATAATTGTTAAGTGGATCAGATAATTCCTCTTGAACTGTAGAAATACTATTTTCTTGCTATTATATTAACTTTTCACAAGGTGTCACTGTTCTTCAAAGAAACAAAACATTTACTGTGCAAAAAAAAAGGTGTTCCATTTTAAGAGCTCAGTACATGTTATAAATTTTAAACTACTAAATCTTTGGATGCCTGAAGCTCATATATTCCTGCTATTATCTGGGCAAAAATTATGGGGAAACAAAGGAAATTGATTTACTCCAAGTCATAGGATGAACCAAAACCACTTTCCTCAAATACTTTCCTAACATTTCAACAATATTGAGCTAAGGAAAAATTTGCCTTTTAAAGTTTCCTTAATTCTTCTTTAAAAATTCTCTCCTTCAAGTCTTACCCCTTATTTGACTATGAGGGAAAAATTTCTCCTCAGCTGATAATATTTTTCACAGTAATTTACTATCTTCTATTAAAATCACATCATAAATGTAAGTTATCTTACAAAAAAAGGTCTTCTTGTAAAAGACAGCATCTGGAAATTTGTAAAGCTGGGCAACAAATATGTACCTTCCATTCCTTTCACCTCCTTGGACTGTACTGTGAAAGGCAGTTCTGGGAAATGGAATTCCTTCCTGTCAGATCTGGAAAAATTCAGCTTCCTTTTGTTTCCATTTGCCATTTGGTCACTTTGACCTGTTCGCTCATCAAATATACTCTTCTCCATTTGGCTCTAAACAAGCAAATAAGCAAGAGTTAATTTGAAAAAAAGATGTGTAACTGTTTTTTGAATGATAAGCCTAAAATTGCAGGCCATTTGGAAGGTAATAAGATAGGTATAAAATGTCTATCTTTGCAAAGTTATTTTAATAATTAATAAGTAGAATACCAGGGGTGCCCAGGTGGCTCAGTTGGTTAAGTGGCTGCCTTCAGCTCAGGTCATGATCTCAGGGTCCTGGAATTGAGACCCACATCCGGCTCCCTGCCCATCAGGGAGTCTGTTTCTTCCTCTCCCTCTGCCCCTCCGCCCACATGTGTGCTCTCTCTCAAATAAATATGTAAAATCATTAAAAAAAAAAAAGAATACCATTTAAATACATAAACATCAAATTCCAATAAAAGTTTAATGAAGCAAATTTTTAAAAATACGTTGGATATTCTGAGAATAATAATGTTGATCAGGAGAACCACCATCTTAACTTTTAATTTATAATCTTATTCATTGTACTCTGACTTTGGACAAATTGCTTCAGTTCATTTTATTAATTTATTTTTCTATTTACAAAATGATGTACTCTGGACACAGGGAGAGCCCAGCATTCTAGAAAATCTTTTGTGTTATCTATTTTTTACTTATTTTTGCTCCTTTGGTAACTGATGATAAAAACTCTCTTATGTTCCCCTATGTAAAATGTCAATTTTGAATAAGCTACTTCCCTATGTAAAAAATGAGGGAATGAACAACACTGATCACATTTTTCTAGTGAAGAGTTTGATGTATCTATTTGGCAATTGCCTTTAATCTATAAAATATTAAAAACATTTTTGGGGGGAGTGAAAGGCCAAAAAGTCTGTGACTTTATTTTTTTAAAGATTCTATTCTTTTGGGGCACCTGGGTGGCTCAGTCGTTAAGCATCTGCCTTTGGCTCAGGTTACAATCCCAGGGTCCTGGGATCGAGCCCCACATCCGGCTCCCTGCTCAGCAGGAAGCCTCCCCTGTTTGTGTTCCCTCTCGCTGTGTACCTCCCTGTCAAATAAATAAATAAAATCTTTAAAAAAAAGATTCTATTCTTTTTATTTTTTTTTTAAGTAATCTTTACATCCAGTGTGGGGCTCAAACTCACAACCCTGAGATCAAGAATTGTATGCTCTTCTGACTGACCCAGCCAGGTGCCTCAAGTCTTGTGACTTTTAAGAGTGAAAAATCTTAACTTTTTTTGTGCAAGTCACAGATAAAATACACAAATCAAATTATAAGAAATTAACTAAAATTGTGAAAGCACTAAGGAAACGATGACCTATTTTCATCTCAGGAAAAACAAAAAAGCTAAAAGCACATTTTTAAAAATTATTTTTTAAATTTTATTTTAGAGACAGAGAGTGTGTGTATGAGAGGGTGGGGAGGGGCAGAAGGAGAGAGAGAGAATCTCAAGCAGACTCCACACTCAGTGTGGAGCCCACTGCAGGGCTCGATCTCATGACCCCGAGATCATGACCTGAGCGGAAATCAAGAGTAGGATGCTTAACCAACTGAGCCATCCAGGCACCCCTAAAAGCACATTTTTTAAAATGCTGGAGCCCCAAAGATAGAAAAAAGGATTTGGTGGGGAGGGAGTCAAGGATAATGTTGAAAGAGGCCATGTTTTAATGACTAGCTTCATGCCTTACTTGAGTGGGACCTGCATCCTCTTGCCTGCTATTAGACATAACCTGTCCAATAGAGTGTGAAGAAGTACGTCTCTTTTTTGCTCGTTCAGTCAACCTATTATTTAAAAATGAATGCAAAGTTATTAGAACTCCCCAGAAGTACTTCTGTTTTAGCTTCAGTAATGAAGAAGTTATCATGGTAGTCTAAAGTTTGAATAGTGAGTGCCAAAATGCAATTGTGAGTGTGTTAGTGCCAATTGCTCTAAGTAGGTGAAAACAGAACAGAGAACAACTTGCTCATGGCTAACATCAATGGTAACAACCATGTTGCGGGATTACTCTAGGTGGCCTACTTAGTCCCTTGTATCTGTTTTAAATCTGGAGATCTTTTTTTTTTTTTTTTTTTAAGTAGGCTCCACACCAAACATGGGGCTTGAACTCACAATCCTGAGATCAAGAGTCATATGCTCTACAGACTGAGTCACCTAGATGCTCTTAAATCTGGCTCTCCTAACTACTGGGTTTCTGAATTACTGAGCTTGCTGTCGCTGGCTTACAACCATGGTTATTGCAACCATGGTGTTGGGATCATCTAAAAAACGAATGGGCTCTTGCTGTCTGTAGCCTGCTATACCTTTGGACTGACACAGAAATGTCCACTTGCCCACCTCTGCAGACCCCTCAGCTTCACAACTTACAGTCCAAACCAGTCTGCTAGTATTGGTTTGGGATATTGAATGTAGTCTCCTTCCTCATCTAGATTCACAGTAGTTTCCCTAAATTTAGGACTGGCCCTGATGCCTTGCTAGATAGACCCTTGCTATACAACACACTGCCCTTGATTACGCAGACTCATGGTACCAGTCTTCCAATTTGTAACGGTAGCTAAATCTACAACTGGCCCAATATGTTGTTTTACTCCCAGAATATTTGACCTTCAAAATCTAATTGACTGTAAAAGATTATTTTCAACTGTTCATTCTCCATTTAGAAAATTAGCTACGGGGTGCCTGGGTGGCTCAGTTGGTTAAGCGACTGCCTTCGGCTCAGGTCATGATCCTGAAGTCCCGGGATCGAGTCCCGCATCGGGCTCCTTGCTCGGCAGGGAGTCTGCTTCTCCCTCTGACCCTCCTCCCTCTCATGCTCTCTGTCTCTCATTCTCTCTCTCTCAAATAAATAAATAAAATCTTTTTTAAAAAAAAGAAAAAAGAAAAAAGAAAATTAGCTATGATACAGACAAAATGCTTACTTTGTTATACTAAGGCACATCAATACCAGAACCTAGGTTATATCACCTTCTTCCTATTCGGATGGGAAGAAATTATTCTGAGGGTCTTTTTTTTTTTTTTTTTTTAATGAGGTCTTTCCAAAAGGCATTGGTGAAAAATTAAACATCTATATAAGCAAAAAAAGTTAATTTCTTCTATAGTATTCTTAACAAACACTAATGGCTCATTATATGATTATAATTTCAATATATCTTCAAATTCAGTTTATATACAGACACGATCTTGATTCTTTGAAATGCCATTATATAGGAGCATTGTGTTACTTAGGTCCATTTCTTTCTGTCTCTTTTCTGTTAAACTCACCTTGAATTGGGATTTGAAGCCAGCAAATTATTGCTAGTTAGATTGATGGGTGGCATTATCATACTACCTCCAGTGTGTGGATCATCTTTCATGCCATTAGAATTAGTGCTGGGATTGACAGAGTTTGGCGGTTCATTGATTACAGGCTTTGTATCTTGAGACATAGTATGAGCGTTTTCAACTGCATCCTGTTGACAATGTCCCCCTTCACACTCTATCTTTTTTGGTTCTAAGATATCTCCTTTTCCTCCTTTGACTTTAATAACTCTGACTTTGATCTCCTTGGGCTTTTTCTCTTTTTCTACTTCCTGGAATAGACACATCCAAAATCTGAGTCAGAAGAAGAGTTGTTTTTATCATTAGAGTGCTAACTACAATACAGTTATACTGGCTAGAAAGAAAACAACTTTTACCTTTCCCAAAACTGGAGTACTTAGCAGTGTATTGGTATACGTTGTTTTTCTTTCATCTTTCATAAGTTCATTTTCTTTAGAATTCTCTTTTGGCTTTATGAATGAATTGACTTTTGCTTCTTGCAGTAATTTAGCTCTCAGTTCTGGTATGAATCTGATAAAACAAGCAATATCAACCAATAATCTTTTTATTTATGTAGATAAAGTATTTTATCTTTAATGGACCATTTAATCAATTAATTTACATATCAGGTATAGCATAAATAAATTATCAATAATGCATGCCAAGAAGTGGTACAATATTTAATACAAATTGCTTCCTGGTAAAGATACATCTCCCAAAAATTTTGCCATGAGAATTTACTACATAAAACTTTTACAAAATAGGTTTATATGAATTAGATTCCTCTTGTGATGCAAACTTTACCCAATAAAAGTATTATTTTTCATTTTGATAAATATATTATCTTTAAAGGAAAACTCAGACCATTTTGTCCTTTTTGTGGTTCTTTAAAGTAACAGTACTTAAAAGATGAACTAATTAGTTTCTGAAATCTTATTCTAGAGAAATATTTTTAGTACAAAATGTAACAAAATACATCAATATCAAAGGGAGATCATTTTGGTTTTGGTTTGAATTTTTTTAAGTTACTTTTTTTTTTAAAAGATTTTATTTATTTATTTGAGAGAGAGAGAATGAGAGAGAGCACATGAGAGGGGGGAGGGCCAGAGGGAGAAGCAGACTCCCTGCTGAGCAGGGAGCCCGATGCGGGACTCGATCCAGGGACTCCAGGATCATGACCTGAGCCGAAGGCAGTCGCTTAACCAACTGAGCCACCCAGGCGCCCTTAAGTTACTTATTTTTTAATAGAAAATCCATTGATATGGCTCAAAATTCAAAAGGCTATATTGAAAAGTCTCCTTCTTGGGGCGCCTGGGTGGCTCAGTTGGTTAAGTGTCTGCCTTCGGCTCAGGTCATGATCCCGGGGTCCTGGGATCGAGCCCTGCATCGGGCTCCCTGCTCCGCGGGAAGCCTGCTTCTCCCTCTCCCACTCCCCCTGCTTGTGTTCCCTTTCTCGCTGTGTCTCTGTCAAATAAATAAATAAAATCTTTAAAAAAAAAAAAAAAGAAAGAAAAGTCTCCTTCTTACCCTGCCTCTGAGTTGCACAGTTCCATTCCCTGAAGCAGCTATAATGATCAGTTTGGGGAAATTTTATTTTGTTTTATTTTTAAGATTTTATTTATTTATTTGACAGAGAGAGACACAGTGAGAGAGGGAAAGCAAGCAGGAGGAGTGGGAGAAGGAGAAGCAGGCTTCCCGCTGAGCAGGGAGCCTGATGTGGGGCTCGATCCCAGGACCCTGGGATCACGACCTGAGCCGAAGGCAGGTGCTTAACGACTGAGCCACCCAGGCGCCCCTTAATTTATTTTAAAGTAAGCTCTACACCCAGTGTGGGGCTCGAACTCACCACCCTGAGATCAAGAGTCATGTGCTATACTGACTGAGACAGCCAGGTGTCCCCTAGTTTGTGAAAATTTTAAAATATCATTCCATGAGTGACTTCTTCCCCAGTTTAGCCCAATCTTGCCAAAGCTGTGCAAGACACATGTCTAGTAAAGTGAAGTGTGAAGAGATGAAGAAAACAACCAGTGTGATTCATTTGGCTGAATAAGAACATGTCATACTTCTGTCAAAATGCCCTTGTATTGCAGAAGGTTCTGTGAAAGGGAGAGGCCTCTTATCAAAGGAAAGGGTCTTGCCCAAACATTTCCTAAAGATTCAATCATTGGAATTCAAGAACTTTCACCCTATCACACTAAAATCCTAGGATCTTAAGTACCCAAGAGAAATCAACGTGGTCTATGTAGAACTGATATAAGCAACTTTTTAATTCAGTAACGGGCACTTTTCATCAATGGCACTTTCAATATATCGTCTCATTTTTTTGTTTTATATCAAAATTCTTGTTTTGCTTTATATTAAAATTCTTAAAATGCTTAAAGTTCTAAGTACTCTAAAGGATTCTCTCTTCTTTGCCTTTTTCTAGTTTAGTCTATCTTTAATGGCTGTTCCTGAACTTTTCCATGCCTAATCTTAAGTCCATCACATTTTAAAATGATGTCCATCTTTTCTGACCTCACATCCAAAGCCCACCTGAGTGACTCTGTAATTAAAGAAAAACATTTTCTGTTTCTTTCAAAGCCCAAATAGAAAATTGTGGGGGTTTTTTAGAAATACAGCTGATTTTAGGGGCGCCTGGGTGGCTCAGTTGTTAAGAATCTGCCTTCAGCTCACATCATGGTCCCAGGGTCCTGGGATTGAGTCCTGCATTGGGCTTCCTGCTCAGCCGGGAGCCTGCTTCTCCCTCTCCCACTCCCCCTGCTTGTGTTCCCTCTCTAGCTGTCTCTCTCTGTCAAATAAATAAATAAAATCTTTAAAAACAAAAAAAAAGAAATACAGCTGATTTTAGCCAAAATATGGAAAGAGCCCAGATGTCCATCGACAGATGAGTGGATAAAGAAGATGTGGTATATATACACAATGGAATATTACTCAGCCATCAAAAAGAATGAACTCTTACCATTTGAAACAATGTGGATGGAACTAGAGGGTGCAAAGTGAAATAAGTCAGAGAAAGACAAATACCGTATGATTTCACTCATATGTGGAATTTAAGAAACAAAACAGGAGAACATAGGGAAGGGAAGGAAAAATAAAATAAGATAAAAACAGAGAACCTCAATGAGATACCACCTCACACCAGTCAGAATGGCTAAAATTAACAAGACAGGAAATGACAGATGTTGGCGGGGATGCGGAGAAAGGGGAACCCTCCTACACTGTTGGTGGGAATGCAAACTGGTGCAGCCACTCTGGAAAACTGTATGGAGGTTCCTCAAAAAGTTGAAAATAGAGCTACCATATGATCCAGCAATTGCACTACTGGGTATTTACCCCAAAGATACAAAAGTAGGGATCCGAAGGGGTACGTGCACCCCGATGTTTATAGCAGCAATGTCCACAATAGCCAAACTGTGGAAAGAGCCAAGATGTCCATCAACAGATGAATGGATAAAGAAGATGTGGTATATATATACAATGGAATATTATGCAGCCATCAAAAGGAATGAGATCTTGCCATTTGCAACGACGTGGATGGAACTGGAGGGTATTATGTTGAGTGAAATAAGTCAAAAAGAGAAAGACATGTATCATATGATCTCACTGATATGAGGAATTCTTAATCGCAGGAAACAAACTGAGTGTTGTTGGAGTGGGGGGTGGGGTGGAGGGATGGGGGGACTGGGCGATAGACACTGGGGAGGGTATGTGCTCTGATAAGCGCTGTGAATTGCGCAAGACTGTTGAATCTCAGATCTGTACCTCTGAAACAAATAATGCAATATATGTTAAGAAAAAAAAAAAAGAAGAAGAAGAAGAAGGTAGCGGGAGGGGAAGAATGAAGCAGGGGAAATCGGAGGGGTAGACGAACCATGAGAGATGATGGACTCTGAAGGGCAGGCAGGGTTCTAGAGGGGAGGGGGGTGGGAGGACGGGTTAGCCTGGTGGTGGGTATTGAGGAGGGCACGTTCTGCATGGAGCACTGGGTGTTATGCACAAACAATGAATCATGGAACACTTCATTTAAAACTAATGTTGTAATGTATGGGGATTAACATAAGAATAAAAAAAAAAAAGAAAAAAAAAAGATAAAAACAGAGAGGGAGGCAAAGCATAAGAGACTCTTAATTATAGGAAACAAACTGAAGGTTGCTGGCGGGGGTGATGGGCATTAAGGAGGGTATGTGATGTAATGAGCACTGGGTGTTATACACAACTGATGAATCACTAAATTCTACCCCTGAAACTAATAATACACTATATGTTAACTAAGTTGAATTTAAGAAAAAAATTTAAAAAAAAGAAATACAGCTGATTTATAAATCTACATTGTCATTATATATTACATACACAATGTGGGACACAGAAGGGCTAGAGGCATGGTCCCTCCTTCAGGGAACTTCCACTTTGGTAGAGAGAATATGACAATAAACACTATAACAGAAAGTAAATAAAGGGGAGGAAAAAAACCATTTGGGAAATAAATGCCAATTATAAGATATAGATCAGAGAGGCTATGAGACGAGGAAAAACCAGACATTTAGTCAGAGGTCCAAATGGGAATAAAGCTAAAAAGTACTGATTGTTTATTTATTGTCTTCAGGCCTATGATCACCATTGAAAATGTGTATAAAGAGCTTAGCACACTGCCTAGGACATCATAACTGTAATGAATGTTAACTACAATTATTTTTATTAGTAGAATTTTCATCATGATGCCTATAAGTCTACCATAGACCTAGTTAATAGAGGAACTAAGTAAGTAAAGTTTTTGTTAAATTGAATTTTTGTGTGTGTGTAACATTAAGAAGTCCACACACACTCAACATGCTTACTTTTCAATAAATCCATCTCTAGTAAAATACTCATGATGCAAAAGATCAGTAGATGATGTCCTCTCAGCAGGATCAATTTGTAAACAAGCCTAGAAAATGAAAAAAAATTCTAACATTAAGTAAGATCTTATCAGAGCTCTATAAGGTAAAAATTAAATGTATTTGACATATGTAGAAGAAAATACCCGGAGCTAAAACCATTCTTGAAAAGTTAGATTTAGACCTTAGGAATTTCTGACAATGAGTTCTGACCACTTACTTCCCTAAGAAATTTATAGTTCTAAAGCATTATTACAGGTTAAATGTCCTATGATTCTAGCCAAAACAGAAGTCAATCTGTTTCTGCTGGAATTAGCAGAATTAGTTCATTTTGATCCTCTTATCAGCACTGTAAGGTGGAAAGTTCATGGATTATTATTTCCATTTTACAGAACTAGAAGCATAATTAGTGACTTACTATATGAAAATTTTAACTCATATTGTCTGAATCCTAATCCATTGCTTTTTCTATGGCATAATACAACTTCACAAACATTCAAGCCCCCAAATCTTTCAATAATCCATTATGAGAACAGCTCTTTTTTGTTTCCCTATCTTGGGAATACTTCAACTGAATAGAGAAACAAGCAAACAAACAGAAAACCCACAAAACAAAAACAGATGATAGAAGGAAGTGTTTTGAAAATAAGTCGAACATCATAAATTTATATATAACCAAATAACTTGTTGTAAATAGAAGATATTTTTAATCAAAATATTAAAGATAGAATTTGAATAAAGCCATTTGCATTATAGTTTTCACTTCTTCCTTTAGAAGAAGGCAAACATTAAAAAAAGGCAAAACATAATAATAATTGGTAACTTTTATTGATATTTACTGTGTGCCACACAATACTCTACCTAGCTTTTTCCTATAACTTGATGCCAACAACAACCCTACAGGTAGGTATATTATCTCCATTGTACAGATAAGGAGACTGAGGCCCAGAGAAATCAAGTAATTTGTCTAAATCTAACAAATAGAAGAGTAGAATTAAAATCCAGAAAATCCAAGGTAATTGAATATAATATTACATTTTTGTTTATTTCAAAAAATATATATGTTTAAATTGATTCACAAAAAAAGTTGTAAAGATCTGCTATATAGGGGCACCTGGGTGGCTCAGTCGTTAAGTGTCTGCCTTCGGCTCAGGTCATGATCCCAGGGTCCTGGGATCGAGCCCCGCATCGGGCTCCCTGCTCGGCAGGAAGCCTGTTTCTCCCTCTCGCACTCCCCCTGCCTGTGTTCCTGCTCTCGTTATCTCTCTCTGTCAAATAAATAAATAAAATCTTTAAAAAAAAAAAAAAAAGATCTGCTATACAACAATATGAATATAGCTAACAGTACATTCTACACATTTTAAAATTTGGTAAGAGGGTAGATTTCATGTTGTGTTTTTTACCACAATAAAAATACATTGACTCACAGAGCAAAATTGAGTTCATTCTCTACTTTATGATGGGAGAATACCCAGACCCTTAAAACTGCAACTAGCTAAAAATGTGTGCTTATTTTAGAATATGATAGTAATCCATCAATAAAACTTAATAAGAACGTGTTGGGGCGCCTGGGTGGCTCAGTTGGTTAAGCGTCTGCCTTTGGCTCAGGTCATGATCCCAGGGTCCTGGGATCGATCCCACATTGGGTTCCCTACTCAGCAGGGAGCCTGCTTCTCCCTCTGTCCCTTCCCCCCTCCCCCCGCCGTGCTCACTTGCTTTGTCTCTTTCTCTGTCTTTCTCTCTTGGAAAAATAAGTAAGTAAAATCTTTCTAAAAATCTTAAAAAGTCTGCCCAAGTCATAGCCTATTAGAGGCAGACAAATTAGTCCTTCTTTGAATAATATAATTAGAAAATTTAAATACATGCCTAGTTTGGAAAAAGTAAGATATGATACTTTGAACAGACTGGCAGTTTCTTTAAAAATTAAACATACACATACCTTAAACCCACCATTCCACTCTTAGATACTCAGAAGAATAAAAATATACATCTACAAAGACTTGGACATGAATGTCCATAGCAATTTTGTTTGTAACAGCCAAAAATAGGAAACAACCCCAAACAGGGGAATAGATTAAAAATTGTTATATATCCTTATAATGGAGTACTACTCAGTAATAAAAAGGAATCAACTACTGATACACACAAAAACATGAATGAATCTCTAAACCATAATGCTGAATTAATGAGTATATATCATGTAATTCCATATATATATCCTAAACAATGTAAACTAATCTATAGTGATAGAAAGCAACTGAGAGGTTATCTGGGACCAGAAATGGAGGGATAAGAGGATTGAAAAAGAGTAAGAGGACATTTTAGAGGTTGATGGAAATGTTAGATATCTTGACTGTGGTGGTGGTTTCATAGGTTTAAAAATCTATCAAAACTCATCAAATTATACATTTTAAGTATGTGTAGTTTAATGTAATTATATCACAATAAAGTTTAGAAAATTTAAATCTAGGAAATGATACAAGCTTTGCCCCAGATATTAAGATGGATTCTAAAGTTACAATAATCAATCAAACTGGTATTTATACGAGAATTAAAAAAGAAATCAATGAAATAGAAACAAACCCAAGTGCATACAAGCATTTTGTCTATGATAAATGTGGCACTCCAAGTCACTGGATTATTCAAGTTGAAGGAAAATATTTACAACATATATGACAAAAGACTAATATGCCTATTATTTTATAAATCTATATGAAAAAAGATAGTCTAATTGACAAATAATGATTCTTAAAATAAGAAATACAAATGGTCAATTAATATTAGTAAAATGTTCAACCTTTCCTGTGGTGATATAAGTGCAACTAAAAAAAGATGGTATTTTAAGCTTATTAAATTGGCAAATATTTGGGGGTGCTTGGCTGGTTCAGTTGGTAGAATATGGTGACTCTTGATCTTGGGGTGGTGAGCTTGAGTTCCATGTTGGGTGTAGAGATTACTAAAAAAAAAACTTGGCAAACATTTTAAAAACTATAAATATCCATTGTTAGATTGAGAATGGGAATTTATATCCAGTGCTACTTGAGAGTACTTGAATATAAATCAGTGACACCTTTCTGGAGGAAAAAATAGCAAAATATATAAAAAATTCTGAAAAAGTGTAAACCCTATAGCCCTCTAATCACAATTCTAGGAATTTATCCTAAACAAATAATAAAGCAAGTTCAAAAAGACATATTTAAAAGATGCTCACTAAATCATCTTTACCAAGAGGGAGAAAACCTGAAAACAAGTGTCCAAAATTGTAAGATCAGTTAAACTATAGAACAGTCATACAATGAAATACTACGCAACCATTGAAAATTATGGTGTAGTTCCATATTTACTGACATGGTTACATAACAAACAGGTCAGCGTGGCGTCTTTTAAAAGCATAAATTCCTATGCACATATTTGGTTGGCAAAAGTCTGGAAGTATAGAAATCAAAATGTCAATAGTAATTTTTCCCAGATTGTAGGAGTTGGGAAAATCTTAACTTCTTCTTCTTGTTTATCATGTATTCTCTACTTTTTCTATAATCATTATGTATTCCTTGTATAATTAAAACTATGATACAAAAAATAAATTCAAATGAAAATGTAGCAAACAAATCTAATTCTTTTTTTTTTTAAGAAATTTTATTTATTTCTTTAAGAGAAAGAAAGAGAGAGTGAGACTGGGGGAAGGAGAGAAACAAGCAGACTCCATGCTGAGTGTGGAGCCAGACGGGCTCAATCCCAAGACCCCAAGATTATGACCTTAGCCAAAGGCAAGAGTCAGATGCTCAGCTGACTCACCCACCCAGGCACCCCTGATTCTTTTTTTTTTAAGATTTATTTATTTATTTTAGAGAGAGAGTGAGCATGAGTGGGAGGGGCAAAGGGAGAGGGAGAGGAAGAAAGAACCTTAAGCAGACTCCACACTGAGCACAGAGCCCAACATGGCGCTCTATCTCATGACCATGACAGCATGACCTGAGCCGAAACCAAGAGTTGGATGCTCAACCAACTGAGCCACCCAGGCGCCCTGAGAGAAAGAATCTTTTCTTTTTTTTAAGATTTTATTTATTTGAGAAAGAGAGAGAGAGCACAGAGGGAGAGTGAGAGGGAGAAACAGATTCCCCGCTAAGCAAGAAGCCCAGTGAGGGGCTCGATCCCAGGACCCCGAGATCATGACCTGAGCTGAAGGCAGAGGCTTAGCTGACTGAGCCACACAGGCATCCCCTGAGAGAAAGAACCTTAAGCAGACTCCCTGCTGAGTGTGAGGCCCACCATGAGGCTCAATCTCACAACCTTGAGATCATAACCTGAGCCAAAATCTAGAGTTGGGACACTCAACTGACTGAGCCACCCAGGTGCCCCAACGAATCTGATTCTTAATAAACTCTAGTTTTCTTCAGATATCAATGAAATAATTTTTTCCTTTAAGAATACTCTTTAGATGCTACATATCATATCTTTAGTAAGTTTACCTAAATAATAACAGCAACAATTAAAATTAACAACATTTGTTGACAGCTTATTCAAGGCCCTGTGCTCAGAACATGTTCACCATTACCTCATTTAATCCTCCAGCCCCCCAAAATAAAGACCGTTAATGTTGTTTTATACCCCAGTAAACTGGGGCACAGAGATTAAGTGACTTTCCCAAGGTTACAGAGCTAATTAGTGACAGAGCTGAGTTTTTGTCTATGTGATTCCAGAGCCCCTTCTTATAAACACTATATACCATACTTACTTTTAAATTTAGTTAACTACTTTTTCTAAAGGGCTATACATCAGAAATAAGATACCTCAGTTGAGGGTGCCTGGGTGGCTCAGTTGGTTAAGCGACTGCCTTCGGCTCAGGTCATGATCCTGGAGTCCCTGGATCGAGTCCCGCATCGGGCTCCCTGCTCAGCAGGGAGCTTCTCCCTCTGACCCTCCCCTGTCTCATGCTCTCTCTCTCTATCTCATTCTCTCTCTCAAATAAATAGATAAAATCTTTAAAAAAAAAAAAAAGATACCTCAGTTGACCCTGGGAAAGGAAATTAGCTAGATAAAGAAAATAAATAGAAGTAGATTTACTTTCCACAGTAAATTCTCTTGCTTTTTTAATTTTGCACTAAGTATATTGGTATATTTATTACCTAATTTAAAAAGAAATTTACGGGGTGCCTGGGTGGCTCAGTCATTAAGCGTCTGCCTTTGGCTCAGGTCATGATCCCAGGGTCCTGGGATCGAGCCCTGCATCAGGCTCCCTGCTCAGCGGGAAGCCTGCTTCTCCCTCTCCCACTCCCCCTGCTTGTGTTCCCTCTCTCTCTCGCTGTGTCTCTGTCAAATAAATAAATAAAATCTTTTAAAAAATAAAAATAAATTTACATCTTAAAATAATTAAAAAGTGTTATACAGTACAATGTTTTTGTTTTCTCAAAATTCAAGGTGAATTTTGGCATTGGTATACCTTCAAACAACATTAAAACTGCAGCTGTCAATGCCTGGTAGATATCTTAGGATACCAATGTGCAAGGAACAGAGCCCTAACTTGGGTAGACTGGGGCTATTAAAAGGTAGTGATAAACATGGTAAGTCCTTTGAATTTTTCCAGTTTATCCCTAATTATCATTAAAATTAGGATAAACTAAAAATAATGGACAGCATTATCCTAGGGAGTTTTCAGTTCTAACAGTCTATGAATTTTAATTTTTCTGGAGTAAAGACATAAAGACAGGAATATAGTAAATTTTTTTTTAAGATTTTATTTATTTATTTGAGACAGAATGAGAAAGAGAGAGCACATGAGAGGGGGGAGGGTCAGAGGCAGAAGCAGGCTCCCTGCCGAGCAGGGAGCCCGATGCGGGACTCGATCCAGGGACTCCAGGATCATGACCTGAGCCGAAGGCAGTCGCTTAACCAACTGAGCCACCCAGGCGCCCAGGAATATAGTAAATTTTAACAGATAACATTATGAATCTTTTCAGAATTTCATCAAAGTAATATTTTAAAACTATATTATAATTTACACAAATTTCCCAGAAATAAGTCCTTAATTCTTAACATACATCAACTATATCTGCCAACAATCCATTTAGCTTTGGGTATTTTTTTCTTGCATTTTTGGGGTGTTGAACTTGCGGAAGGACCACCCCAGCAAAAATGGGACTCTTGGAAAATATATTCTGTAAGTGAGGTGTCAAATTGCCTGAAAAGAGAAAAAAATATGAATGTAAGAAAACAGAGAAATTAATCTACAATCAAAATAAACAAATTGCTATGTGGTCTGCATTAAATCACTAAAAAGGGAGAATAACAATTATGTTCTTATAATTTTTTAAGGTTGAACAAGGAACTATCTGAATATAGCATAAAAATTGGAAGTTTCCCCAGTAATCTGTTGATAGCATGTAGGCAGTAGAAAATTTAAAACCACCAGGTTCATTTTCGTTTCGCAAAATATAAGACATAATATATAATGCTATCAGGAAAAGCAAACTTTTACATATTTCCATATAGGTATCTAAATGGTCTAACAAGTGTTTATCAGCAAATCCTTACTCAAAACAGCTAAAATATCTAAATTATTTAGAAATATAAATACTGCAAAGAAACAAGGCTATAGAGTAGTAGTAGAATGAAAACCGTAAATAGGAGTGGAGAGGGGCGCCTGGGTGGCATCAGGCTCCCTGCTCAGCGGGAAGCCTCCTTCTCCCTCTCGCACTCCCCCTGCTTGTGTTCCCTCTCTCGCTGTGTCTCTCTGTCAAATAAATAAAATTTTTTTTAAAGATTTTATTTATTTATTTGAGAGAGAGAATGAGATAGAGAGAGCATGAGATGGGGGAGGGTCAGAGGGAGAAGCAGACCCTCCGCTGAGCAGGGAGCCCGATGCGGGACTCGATCCCGGGACTCCAGGACCATGACCTGAGCCGAAGGCAGTCGCTTAACCAACTGAGCCACCCAGGCGCCCTGAATAAATAAAATCTTAAAAAAAAAAAAAAATAGGAGTGGAGAGAGCCAAGTTCTAGCGCCAGTTTTATTATAACTATTTCTGTGACCTTGGGCAAATCTCTTCCCTTTCTATGCTTCAGTTTCCTTATCTGTAAAATGACAGAATTAATCCCATCATCTCCAGTGTTTTTTTTTTTTCTAACATTACTCTCAAAACCAGAACTTTAAAGATGACAAAAAAAGTGTGATGCTTTAAGACTCCAAACTATATCTTTAATTAGTATTTATCCAGACCTCATGATTTTTTTTTTTTAGATTTTATTTATTTATTTGAGAGAGAGAGAATGAGAGACAGAGAGCATGAGAAGGAGGAGGGTCAGAGGGAGAAGCAGACTCCCTGCCGAGCAGAGAGCCCGACGCGGGACTCGATCCAGGGACTCCAGGATCATGACCTGAGCCGAAGGCAGTCGCTTAACCAACTGAGCCACCCAGGCGCCCCAGACTTCATGATTTTTATCCCAGTATCTTCCTCATGATCCTGTAACTACATGTTTATGTATACCTTCTCTATACCACAAAAGGAGCTCCTCAAGCTCATCATTCAGAAATATATTAAAAAAAAACAAGTCATTGAAACTCCATGAGTAAGGCTAACCATCAAAATGTTTGGGTAGTCAAAGCAGATCATTAAAAAAGTAAAAGCACTCATCAAATGTATTTTTGAATAGGTTATTTAGCTACCTGGATTTCTGCTGTGGTTTAAAAAAAAAAGTTTTCTCAATAAGTAACTTTCTATCTCTAAGTGCTTCAAAAAGACATCTAAATCAACTCTATTATTTAAAAGTCCACTTTGAGAGATGCAAATATTTGTAGAAGCCAAAAAAATTTTTTTAAGATTTTATTTGTTTATTTGACAGAGAGAGAGAGAGTGAGAGAGCACAAGCAGGGGGAGCAGCAGAGGGAGAGGGAGAAACAGGCTCTCCGCTGAACAGGGAGCCCCATGCCAGGCTCGATCCCAGGACCCTGAGATCATGACCTGAGCCCAAGGCAGACGCTTCACAAACTGAGCCACCCAGGCACCCCCTAGAAGCCAAAATTTTAAAACAACTTTTAGACAAATTGAAGTATGTTCCTATTGTACCATTTTTCTTAGTATCAACCATTAGCAAATGACTTAGCTATTTGCAACCTGACAAAGAAAATATTATTTACAAAAACAGAGAAGAATTTCCTACCTTCTTTATCAGCCCAAGGCATACACCTGCTGCCATCTATCAAAACAATATGCTTCCCTGTTCTTATAAAGAAAAAACTGAATTTGAAAATCAAGCAGAATTGATATAGCAATATTTACTTTAAGCATTTAACAGTGTATTTCAGTAGTACCCACCTACTTTTAAAACAATTTTATGAAGTAAATCCAAATCAGAGCTGCTAGGAAGATAGGGATTTCCAGTGGCCATCTCAATGATCATACAACCCAAAGCCCAGATATCTACAGGTCTGAAACAAACAAGAATAAATTATCTTTTCATGGAGAAATATATAAAATATCTCTTCTTTTTATTTTTTTCTTAAGATTTATTTATTTATTTATTTATTTGAGAGAGAGAGAGTACGAGCAGGGTGAGGGGCAGAGGGAGAAGCAGACTCCCCACTGACCGGCCAGCCTGAAACAAGGCTCAATCCCAGGTCTCCGGTATCATGACCTGAACCAAAGGCTGATGCCCAACCAACTAAACCACCCAGGTACTCCCAAAATATCTCTTCTAAAATGTTTTGAAATAATGTTCCAGCCAAAGAAAATATAATGGTTAGATGGTATCATTTATAAATTTTCATCTTAATATCATATGCCAACTTTAGGATATATATTAAACACTATCACATTTTATTAATAATATTAAATATTTTATATTTAAATCACATGAGAAACCATGTAGTAGTCCAGATGAAATGTAACTGTAATTCTAAAATTGTTCCAGATACTTATATAAAGACATTATGATAAATGGTTTATGAATTAGAGTAATTGAATACCAAAGCCATCTTGTACTTAAAAAGTAAAATTTAGGGCACCTGGGTGGCTCAGTCGTTAAGAATCTGCCTTCGGCTCAGGTCATGATCCCAGGGTCCTGGGATCGAGCCCCGCATCGGGCTCCCTGCTCAACGGGAAGCCTGCTTCTCCCTCTCCCACTCCCCCTGCTTGTGTTCCTTCTCTCACTTTGTCTCTCTCTGTCAAATAAATAATTAAAATCTTCAAAAAATAAATAAATAAAATAAAAAGTAAAATTTAAAAATATTAAATATTTTACCACTTACATTTATTTTTTTAATTAATTAATTTATTTAAAGTAGGCTTCATGACTAATGTGGGGCTTAAACTCATAACCCTGAGATCAAGAGTCACATGCTCTACCAATTGAGCCAGCCAGGCACCCACATTTATTTATCTTGTATTGTGAGTCATCCATAATTCCAACTTTTTTGCCACATAATCAGTTTTTTAAAAGATAGTTTATGTTACTAGGACTTCTAAAGATTTTATTTTTTTTTAAGTAATCTCTACACTGAACATAGAGCTCGAGCTTAACAACCCCAAGATCAAGAGTCACACACTCCACTGAATGAGCCAGCCAGGCACCCACTAAGATTCTTTTTACAGATTTATTTATTTATTTATTTTAAGGAGGGGGATTGTAGGGGGAGAGAGAATGAGAATCTCAAGCTGACCCTGCAATGAGCGGGGAACCCAACACGGGGTTCAACCGCAGGACTCTGAGATCACAACATTAGCCAAAACAAGAGTCAGATGCTCAAATAAGCCACTCAGGCACACCCCCGCCCCACTAGGAATTTTAAATAGATAAAAAGTATTTCAATCTCACATTCGAGAGAAATATAAACACTACAATGAGCTGTATCTTTCACTGACCCAACTGATAAAAATTGTAAGATTCAATAACTGCTGTATTGGTGAAGCCATGGAAAATGGACACTCCTGTGTACCATCCTGGGAGTGTAAACCACACAACTTCTTTGAAGGGAAAATTGGTCAAAGCTACCAAAATTAAAAATGTACCTACTTTTGACCAAACAACTTTATTCCTAGGAATTTAACCAAAGATCTACTCACCCATGTGCACAAAGATAAATGATACAAGAATTTCACTGAAGCATTGTTTGTGGTAGGAAAAAAAGTGGAAACAACCTAAACATCCTTCAATAGGAGAATCACTATGTAATATTTTGTACAACCACACAATGAAATATTATTCAGCAATCAAAAAGGAGGTATATGCTAATATAAATTGATCGCCAAGATGAACTCTCAAGCAAAAACAGCAAAATTCACTAAAGAAATCCAAGAAGATGTATATAAATGGAGAGATATTGCATGTTCATGATTAGGAAGACTCAATATTGTCAAAACGTCAGCTCTTGGGGTGCGTGCACCCCGATGTTTATAGCAGCAATGTCCACAATAGCCAAACTGTGGAAAGAGCCAAGATGTCCATCGACAGATGAATGGATAAAGAAGATGTGGTATATATATACAATGGAATATTATGCAGCCATCAAAAGGAATGAGGTCTTGCCATTTGCAACGACGTGGATGGAACTGGAGGGTGTTATGCTGAGTGAAATAAGTCAATCAGAGAAAGACATGTATCATATGACCTCACTGATATGAGGAATTCTTAATCTCAGGAAACAAACTGAGGGTTGCTGGAGTGGTGGGGGGTGGGAGGGATGGGGTGGCTGGGTGATAGACACTGGGGAGGGTATGTGCTATGGTGAGTGCTGTGAATTGTGCAAGACTGGTGAATCACAGATCTGTACTTCTGAAACAATACAATATATGTTAAAAAAAAAAAAGAAGAAGATAGCAGGAGGGGAAGAATGAAGGGGGGGAATTCGGAGGGGGAGACGAACCATCAGAGACAATGGACTCTGAGAAACAAACTAAGGGTTCTAGAGGGGAGTGGGGTGGGAGGATGGGATAGCCTGGTGATGGGTATTAAAGAGGGCACGTTCTGCATGGAGCACTGGGTGTTACACACAAACAATGAATCATGGAACACTACATCAAAAACTAATGATGTAATGTATGGTGATTAACATAACAATAAAAAATTTTAAACAAACAAAACAAAAAAAAGTCAGCTCTTCCCCAACTTGATCTATAGATTCAATGCAGTCCCAGTCAAAATCTGATTTGGATATCAACAAATTGATTCTAAAGTTTATATTGTTAAAAAAAACTGGCCCAAAAGAGGGTACCTGGGTGACTCAGTCCATTAAGCCTCCAACTCTTGATTTTGGCTTGGGTCATGATCTCTGGGTCATGAAACTGAGACCTATGCTGGGCTCTGCACTCAGTGCAAAGTCTGCTTGAAACTCTCTCTCGGGGCACCTGGGTAGCTCAGGTGGCTAAGCATCCAACTCTTGATTTCGGCTCAGGTCATGATCTCAGGGTTCTGGGATGGAGCCCTGCTTTGGGCTCCTGGCTTAGCAGGGAGTCTGCTTGAGATTCACTTCTTCACCCCCAGCTCATGTGCTCTCTCTCTCTCAAATAAATAGTCTTTAAAACAAAAGAAAAGAAATCCTATCTCTCTGCCCCTCCCATGGCTCATGCTCTTTCTTTCTCTCTAAAATAAATAAATAAATAAACAAAATCTTTTTAAAAATACTTAATTAGTTTCAAATTCTCCCAGAAGTGGACTCTTAAACCAGTCAATCTGGAATTACATGGTCAGCACTAGTGAGGTAACCTGCCTGACAGAACCCTGCCATCCCCCTAAAGGAAAGTGACCTTGCCACAAACAATCTACCCTTTACTAGTAACTGCCTTGTTCTGCCCCATTCTGCCTATATAAGTCTTTCCATTTTGTACAGCCCTTGGTGTGTCTTTCTGTCTGCTAGATAGAATGCTGCCTGATTCACAAATGGTTGAATAAAGGTATTAAGATCTTTAAATTTTACTCAGTTGAATTTTGGTTTTTAACAATATGAAAAAGCAGTAGACCCAGAATAGCCAACACAATATTGAAGAACAAAGTCAGAGGAAAGATACCACCTGACTTCAAGACATATTATAAAGCTACAGTAATCAAGACAGTGTGGTTTTGGTGAAAGAACAAACAGATCAAGAGACCAGAATACAGAGTCCAGAAATAGACTCACAAGAATATAGTCAACTAAACTTTGACAAAGGAGAAAAAACAATTCAGTAGAGAACAGGAAGTCTTTTCAAAAGTGATACTGGAACAACTGGACATCCATATGTTAAAAAAAAAAAAAAGAACCCAGACATAGATCTTACAATTTTCACAAAAATTAACACAGAATGGATAACAGATGTAAATATAACATACAAAACTATAAAACTTCTAGACAATAATATTGGACAAAATCTAGATGATCTTAGGTTAGGTGATGAGTTTTAGATACAACACCAAAAGCATAATCTACAAGAGAAAAAAATTGGTAAGTGGTACATCATTAAAATTTAAAAATTCTGTCTGGTGAAAGACACTGATAAGAGAATGAAAAGAGAAGTTGGAGAAAATATATGCAAAACACATATTCAATAAACTATTTGTGTCTAAAATATATAAAGCATGCCTAAAACTCAACAATAAGAAAATAATCAAATTAAAAATATAGGCAAAATATGCAAACAGATGCTCACCAAAAATGATACACAAATGGCAAATACACATATGAAAAAATGCTCAACATCAGGGAATGTCATCAGGGAATTGTAAGCTGAAGCGATAATAAGATAAATACCATAAATACACACCTATTATTCGACTAAAATCCAAAAAGCTGACAACAGCAAATGCTGGTGAGGTTGTGGAGCAACAGGAACTCTCATTCCATGGAAACGCAAAATGATACAGCCACTTTGGAGGACAGTTTGACAGCTTCTAACGAAGCTAAACATAGCGTTACCATACAATCCAGTAATAATTGCACTCCTCAGGGGCGCCTGGGTGGCTCATTCAGTTGAAAATCTGAGCATCCGACTCTTGGTTTTGGCTCAGGTCATGATCTCAGGGTCCTGAGATGGAGCCCTGAGTCAGGCTCTGCACTCAGCGTAGAGTCTGCTTGTCTGCTCGTCCCTCTCCCTCTGCCCCTTTGCCCCCTGCCCCCCACTGTCTGTCTGTCTGTCTGTCTCAAATAAATAAATAAATAATCTTTAAAAAAATAAGTGTACTAATTGGTATTTAGCCAAATAATTTGAAAAACTTATATCCACAAAAAAACCTCCACACGAATGTTTATAGCAGCTTTATTCATAACTGCCAAAACTTGAGAGCAAGCAAGATGCCCTTCATTAGATAAATGGATAAACAGTCAAATATACATACAATGTAGTACTATTTAGTGATTAAAAATGACCTATCGAGACATAAAGCAAAACAAAACCAAAAAATGGAGGAACCTTAAATACACATTGCTAGGTGGAAGAAGCCAGTCTGAAAAGGCTGTAT